CCAACATCAAGCCAAACTATGAGAGAGGCTGTCCGTCATCAAGAGACGACAGGGGTCCTTATGGACTGGGTGAGGGGAAGGAGGTCCCAAGTGTCAGTGGGGCACTGTACAGGAGTGGCTCACAGCACACTGGTGCAGTGAGACCAGCACATCTCACAGGCTGTACAACACAGCTCACGGACAGAATGAGAGTGAGAACAGCACATCTCACAGGCTGTACAACACAGCTCACGGACAGAATGAGAGTGAGAACAGCACATCTCACAGGCTGTACAACACAGCTCACGGACAGAATGAGAGTGAGAACAGCACCTCTCACAGGCTGTACAACACAGCTCACGGACAGAATGAGAGTGAGAACAGCACATCTCACAGGCTGTACAACACAGCTCAGGGACAGAATGAGAGCGAGAACAGCACATCTCACAGGCTGTACAACACAGCTCAGGGACAGAATGAGAGCGAGAACAGCACATCTCACAGGCTGTACAACACAGCTCACGGACAGAATGAGAGCGAGAACAGCACATCTCACAGGCTGTACAACACAGCTCACGGACAGAATGAGAGCGAGGACAGCACATCTCACAAGCTGTACAACACAGCTCATGGACAGAATGAGAGTGAGAACAGCACATCTCACAGGCTGTACAACACATGTACAGCTCACGGACAGAATGAGAGTGAGACCAGCACATCTCACAGGCTGTACAACACAGCTCACGGACAGAATGAGAGTGAGAACAGCACATCTCACAGGCTGTACAACACAGCTCACGGACAGAATGAGAGTGAGAACAGCACCTCTCACAGGCTGTACAACACAGCTCACGGACAGAATGAGAGTGAGAACAGCACATCTCACAGGCTGTACAACACAGCTCACGGACAGAATGAGAGTGAGAACAGCACATCTCACAGGCTGTACAACACAGCTCACGGACAGAATGAGAGTGAGAACAGCACATCTCACAGGCTGTACAACACATGTACAGCTCACGGACAGAATGAGAGTGAGAACAGCACCTCTCACAGGCTGTACAACACAGCTCAGGGACAGAATGAGAGCGAGAACAGCACATCTCACAGGCTGTACAACACAGCTCACGGACAGAATGAGAGTGAGAACAGCACATCTCACAGGCTGTACAACACAGGTCACGGACAGAATGAGAGCGAGAACAGCACATCTCACAGGCTGTACAACACAGCTCACGGACAGAATGAGAGCGAGAACAGCACATGTATAGTGGATCATCCTTAGACCCTTAGCTGCCTAGAGATGTATTGTCATTGTATTTCATTGGCATTTTAAAAATCTAATATTTTCAATAATTGTGGCATCATCAATTTATTAAAAATTTGTATGTGCTATGTTCCCCTATGGTGTGCCTATGGCTGTGAGGTGCAACATACATTTGTACTCTAGTGTGACAACACTTAGTACTGTACATGTTTTTTCACTTGTGCTTGACTGAGAAATTAACCATTGGAATACATTCAATTTCTTACAAATTTTCATAAATTCAGAATCAGATTCAGGAACTTTGTCAGACTAATGACTAAGTTAAATCAAACAAACTGTAAAATGGATGTACCGTTAAATGCAAGTTAAAATGATTTCTGCTTTAGAAGTCAGAACAGACCCCACAAGCATAACGCTTTCAAACTGCATCACTTTGATCCAAGCTCTCAGCCCTTGATGAAAAAATGCCAAAGGAATTCTTTCTCCATCTTGCCTTTATCTAAAATGAGTCTCATAAAGGCAAGACGGGGAAATAATCTCTTTGGCATTTTCCATCAGTGTACATGTATGCCATGTATTCTCCTCAAGGACTGAGAGCTTGGATCAAAGAGATAGTAGACTGGTTTATTATTAAAATCAAAGACAAGTCACATGGCAGCCAACAGGCTGAATTGACAGACTCGTGTACAAATTGGCAGATCATTATTAATTCGCTTAAAATATCTAAAATCGTTAAAATGACAAAACAGATAAAAGCAATATTTAGTATGAGGAACATTGCTGGGTGTCGCCCCCAGAAGCACCGAACTACAAAAAGTCAATCCGCGTGTGCATGATAAACTCTGGCATAGACATATAAAGTTATATATATATGATAGAAAGAACAGTATCAGGGTCCTTTTGACAAGTAAAATCGTTAACTGTACAATTAAAACCTTCCATTATTCAACAAGTGGTCATCGAGGCTCTTATTAACAACATTAAATTGAATTGCTTATCAGTCTTGTCATGTGTGGAATAGCGCTATTTCTGTAGCGATCAGTTCTACAGCATTGTAAGTTCAGTTTACTAGAAGAGCGGGTGAGACGACTGCTGATGCTCTCTCTTATGGGTGGAAGGAAGTGTCTGTACAGTTTGGATGTCAGTAGAGACTTGGCAAACTTCAGTGTTAAGTTCGATCGACGTGTGTGTCGAGTTGGTAGGTCGAGAAGGGTGCACGCTTCTGCATAGTCAGTGTAGTCGGTTCCCAAAATTAAGAGATGCTGTTTGAAAGTGGCATGATTAATTTCTGGATGTTTCACTGGAAGTGTTGAATATCAAAAGCTTACCGGTAATCCAAAATTAGTTAATGCATGTTCAACAAACAGGTAATGATTCTACTGAGTAGTTTTGAGATTTGTCAATTTTGTTGTATTTTTTCCCTATAGTATATGAAATAATATTTATTTCATGGTTCACGATACGAAAAGTATAAGTTGCATGCCCATTGCAAGGAGTACAAATTGAATGTATTATGCAACACTATTCGTCAAGGTTGTTGCGTTTTGAAGAGTTAGAAGAGTGACAATAAAAATGATGTCGCAGTATTGAAAAATGTCTGTATATTTAGTAAAATGTTCAAAAATGTTGAACAACTGAGTTATATGAGATTTTTTATTCACATTTCATCAACAACTTATTACATTGTATTTGTAGCTGATTATAACTACATGTATAACAAGAGTTCCACGATCTCATACCTTCGCCAAATGATGTTAACCCTGGCGGTTGACGAATTATACAATGAATGAATTTTAATCATTGATTTTGTACATAAGAGCCTCATTTGCATGGATTATGTCAGTTGATCATATTCTCCACCCAATGACAGCCTTATCTTAACAAAAAGGCTATTATAGCACTTCCTCATAAATTATGCAAATGAGATCATGATTTGAATAATTTTGTTTATTGATGTTCACCTTCACTTAACTTCCGAATGTGGCAAGTATGAAATTCCCAGCAGTTACAACTATGAAATTATGAAAAATTTGCCATTAATTATGCAAATTAGGTCCTCA